TGATGCTGCCTGGCCTGCTGTGCTCCTCCGGCAGATAAAATCTAGTTTGGTTTGTATTCCTGAATAGTTTGGCACCCAGGAACTTCACAGAGGACAGTCAAATAGAAAACCATTAGCTTGATTAAAATATTCAGATTGTTTCTGCTTTCCCGAGAGTGTTCCAAGGCAGCAGTCAAATCACGAGTTTATTGGACACCATAAACCACAAAATTGTAACTTGAGAGCTTAAGAACCTAAACTTCAAAGTTAAATTACAAATTTCAGACTGCTCCAAATTATCAGTTGATTTTGATAACCTGTTTTGATTTAACTGTTGGTGGATTTTAGTTCGTCAGCCAGTGAAAGCTGACAACAAATAACCTGCCTTTCGTTAAGGTGTAATCATGCTTACTTGATTGATGAAGCCTTGTTTGATCTTGCAGGCCACAAGGTTCACTGGGCTGAGCTACAGAGGGTGATTTAAGCCTGGGTGGTAGTAGGGTCACTTCAATTGGCTTTAGTTCTCCTGGGATAGAGAAGTCAAAAAAAATCTCAATCACTATCCACTAACCCCAGTTGGAAATGGATGTTTACAAATGTGGTCCACGTCCAAATTGGTACATGGCTAACTAAAATTGACTGAATGCAGAATGTTTGCCTAAAAGATAGGTGGTAAACAATGTGTGATGCCATAGGCTCTCAGGAAGGTTTGATATCCCAACAGAGAAAGAAGGCAAGGGAAGAAAATTCATCTAAAAAGATACACTTAGTTCAGGATCGTTTCACAATTGATCGATGATTTGTTTCTTACATTGCTTACAGTGTCTGAGAATGAAAGTGCAAAGGGCAGTGGGGATTGTCTGTCCCAATTGGATTTTCAAGGAACCAGAAGTGACTTAACATCTATGACTAGCATCGTAAAGATGAACTGCAGCTTTGAAACTGCCAATCCAAACCAGACCAATGCAGAAAACAGTGGTTTGTAATCTTAGAACATGTTTCATGATTAGGAGTTAAATTTAAGAATTATCTTTGCTATACTTGTAAAGTTTTAAACTCATCAATAGTGAGATACTACTGCACACCTACAGGTGGAAGGATTTAATTATGTGTGAAAAGTGCTTTAAATTAAAGCATTACTCTTGAGATTTCTGTGTATGGAGATTATAAAGGACATTAGGGGAACAAATTGTTTTCAGTTTTTTTTTAAAACGCCCTCAAACTGGTTTGACTGTGTGGTAAAACCGTCCAAAACCATTTCCTTCTCCTTTGGAATCAGGTACTGTACACTACAGACCTGAGAAAAAGCTTCTTGCTTTCCTGTATTCTCCAAAGAGCATAAAAGAAATGTGACACAACGTGAGTCGACACAACAGGGAGAGGCGATGGCCTAGTGGTATGTTAATCCAGAGACCTGTGTAATGTTCTGGGGACCAGAGCTCAAATCCTGTTTCAGCAGATGGTGGATTTGAATTCAGTAAAATATCTGGAATTAAGAATCCAATGATGACTATGAATCCATTGTCATAGAGTCATACAGCATGAAAACAGACCCTTCAGGCCAACCAGTCCATACCTACCCTGTTTCGAAACTAAACTAGTTGCACCTGCCTGCACTTGGGCCATATCCTCCAAACCTTTCCTATTGATGACCTTATCCAAATGTCTTTTAAATGTTGTAACTGTACCTGCATCCCTAGGTTTCTCTGTTCTACGAGCTACCTAGGGCCTACCATTAATTGTATAAGTCCTGTCCTTGTTTGTATTACCAAAATGCAATATCTGGCATTCATCCAAATTAAACTCCATCTGCCACTCCTTAGCCCAATTGATCAAGATCTCTTTCTTATCTGAGATAACCTTCTTCACTGTCCAAAAACCCATCTGGTTCACTAATGTCCTTTAGGGAAGGAAACTGCCATCCTTACGTGGTCTGGCTTTCATGTGACTCCAGACCCACAGCAATATGGTTGACTTGTAACTGGGAAATTAGGGATGAGCAATAATATTGTTATTGCTATTATTTTCTAACAATAGGATTTCTATATAATGGGCTAAGATCCTGCCTAAATGTGCCTGATAAACTGTTAGTTTCCATTCACCAAGTATTTTTAATAGACCTGATCTGAACTGTGCATTTTCCAAGTGGAGTATAGTAACAATGCAGTCTAGTTCATAACTCATAGCATGCATTTCCTGTGATATCAGGGATCCATCATGCAAAGTCAGGTTCAAAGATGAAGAAGTAGCCTTTGATTCTATTGTAGAAGTTTAGGAACAAATTGTTTATATCCTTTCAGCTAACAATGATATAAAGAGTAAAAGCAGTTTAAGAAAAATCATTGTATATACGTCTGTTTAATTCAATTGGAAATAGAATAAAGTACATTTCAGTAATTGTAAAAAAACTTTCAATTGATTGAAAATATCTGATGTCTGATTACAGAAAATATGGCAGGCTTGCTGTTTACTGCATCCTTCGATAGTGCTGCATATCCTGATCCTCGACTAGGTCATGGCAGCAGTTTGCACAAGAGACACAAGACCGCTGTGGAACCTGGCTTGAAGCAACAAATGGTGTGGGGCAGCAGAAACCGCAATCTTAGTGGTGATACTTTTGCAGGACTTAGGATGCACAGAGGAAGCATAGACACTGACCCCAGGGGAATTGCGGACAAATTGGGTGCTGATGCTAAAATACTTTCGACAGCTTTACAAATGGTCACAAGACCAAACACACTCGAGATCAGCAAACCCAGACATATGCATAAACCGGTCAGCTTGAATCCAGAAAAGGAGCTGAGTGATGAAGACACACCGTATGATCTGAATGAAACATTGGCCAATGTAGAGGAAGATAAAACAGATTCTCCTGCCATCTTTGACTTAGAAGATCTGGACAGTGAACCTGATAATGCAGTGTCTAGTGGGCATCCTAACCATAAACTGAAACAAGGGCTGCAATCCAAGCAATTGCAGAGGAGTATGAGTGCAGGAGCAGGGATCAAACCAGCAGAAAGAAGGGGGGTTCAAAGAGGCTATGACCCACTTTCTCTTCTGCTTGCAGAAACCAGTCAAGAGAAAGAGGAGGAGGAAGAGGATGAAGACTACGACAAATGTCCCTCTACTATTTCAGCTCGCCGAAACCTTGCTGAAGAGATAGAAATGTACATGGACTCCATGAGTAGTCCTTTAACTAGTCGCACACCTAGCATGGATTTCTCAAAAACAGATGACGATAGCAAAACACCATCTCATATCAAAGGCTTACCTGCAGTCAAGGGATCCAGGAGGTCTAGCCTTCCAGTGGGCTCACCCAGAGCAAAAGGACTCTGTCGATCCAGAACGTTTCAACCACATGGAAAGGGCGAGTTTACTGGCAAGCAAAGAGACAGACTCTGGTCCTCACCATCATTCTCTCCAAGTAGCAACAGGAGAGTGGAAATTCGAGAGACAGGTGGAGTTTTGACTCTTATGTCTCCACCTCCTTCTAAACTGGATTCATTGCTACCACCCACCTTTGACGTGCTAAAACATAGCATGTTCTCTGCTGGGAAGGGAGTGGCAGAAAAGGCAAGCAAATGGTACACCAAATTGACAACATTGGCTGTACCTATCAAAGATAATGGCAAGGTAGGACTTTCTTCCACAGGAGCTTAAAAATGAGGCTGAGCATTTTAAATGCATCCTAGAATTACAAAATGGTTACAGTGCAGAAAGAAGCCATTTGGCCCATCGCAGGCTCTCTGAAGGAGGAGTTCACCCAGTGCGCCTCCTTCACCCTTACTGTGTATCCCTGCACATTTTTCATTTTCAGATAGTGATACAATTCACTTTTGAACACATTGATTGATTGAATCTGCCTCTTCCATGCACATGGACAGTACATTCCAGATCTAACCACTTCAGTGAAAAAGCTTTTCCTCCGCTTGAAATAAAACCAAAAGTACTGGAGAAGCTCAGCAGATCTGGCAGCATCTGTGGAGAGAGAAACAGAGTTAATGTTTTGGCGACAATATGACTTCCTCATTCTGAAGAAGAGTCATAATAAACTTAACATTAACTCTGTTTCTCACTCCACACTTGCTGAGTTTCTCTGGTTCATTGTTTTTATTTCAGATTTCCAGTATCTGTTGTATTTTGCTTTTATTTTTCTCTATTTTGTTTTGGGGATAGTTCCATGAACAAATGTAGGATTATTAAGAAAAGGCTGAGGTTCAAGATTAAATCAGTCAATTCTTTCAAAGAGCCAGCACAGACCAAATAACCCACTTTAACACTGTATAAAAATATACTGTGAGATTTTGCATGTTAAGAGGAAAGAGCGGGGTCAAAATGGTAACAGCAGCTGGTGGGATTTGAATTAAATTCAGTTCATTAATTTTAAAATTTGGAATATAAAACTACTCTCAGTAATAGTGCAGTGAAACTACCATCAATTGTCGTAAAAAATACGTCATTCTCTAAGATAGTGGGGACTGTCGATGCTGCAGAACCTGAGATAACGAGGTGTAGAGCTGGATGAACCCAGCAGGCCAAGCAGATTTCTGAAGAAGGGTCTAGACCCGAAACATCAGCTTTCCTGCTTCTCTGATGCTGCTTGGCCTGCTGTGTTCATCCAGCTCTACACCTTGTTATGTCATTCTCTAAAGTCCTTTAGGGAAAGAAACCTGCTGTCCTGACCTGGTCTGGCCTACATGTGACTCCAGACCCACAGCAATGTGGTTGACTCTTAATTGCCCTCTGGATTGGCCTAGATGGTGATTCAGTTCAAGGGCAGTTAGGGATGGGTCATGGGCTCAGACCACAACATCTCAAGAAGAGTTTGTTATGATAGATCATTTTAAATTTGTTTCTTTCTTTTCATTTAGATTGTATGTTCGCACAAAGTTTCTGTTGTACTTCAATTCAACAAATACAGTTCTTCCACGAAATGCATTGATGAGACTTTTTGTAAATGTAAAGCCCAAAAGTATAAACTGTTTTAACTTAAATTTTTAGGAGCATTATTCTGAGAGAAATAGTGTCTCTTCAGTTGGAGTAATGGATCCTGATGCATCATCTTTAGATGAGGTGACATATGATGACTCAGACGGAGTAGCTTCACCTCCAGCCTATAGCACGCCTGCAGACGACACCAAAGGATGGCAGCAGGCTAGTTTGGAGAGCTCTGGAAACGACGAGGGGACACCTAGGCAGCCATTGCAAGTTGGTATGAGAGGTCCAGGACCTTATGTAATTGATTTACAACATCTGAATGATAATGTAAAATTTCTGTTTGTTGTGATGCTAGCTTTATAAAAGTTCATGAGGCCTCATTGCTTCTGGTTCTCTCCTTGTTGCATAAAGCAGCAACAACTTCAAGTATAAAACTGGTGTGATCCAATGAATAATTATTGGCACAATGAAACTAAAACTGAATCTAAAATTGCTACAGGTACATTTGTTGGGAAAAGTTTTATTTGCATGATTTGGCTGAATTAAAGAGACAGATAAGCTTGTCAATAAATTCAATAAATGCTTTCTCTAACGCCTCTGATCTGTTTCATTTTCAGGCAGCGCTCAGTCAACAAGTTTCAACTTTCCTTTACCAGACAAATCTGATGTAGGATCCTCTCAATATACAAGCAGCACCAGTATCTTCCAGAATTATGCCGTAGAGGTAAACCAAACAAATAATACATCTGTCTCAATTATCACTGATGCTGTTTAACATCCACAAGTCAAATTTATGTTGGACAAATGGCTCACTTTAAAGGAATTCTGTAAATGTTATGCAGCATCCTAAGATGAGAATTAAAAGATTTTAGAGAACTGGCAGGAAAGTTGAAAAGACCAGGATCAGATTTTAATGCTCCTCCCAAAAGTGTACCTCAGAGGTGGGTTGGATTACATGATGGAGCAGGAAGATGTAGGATAGAGACCCTATTGACTTCCTGACTCTCCTTTCACCCCATTAAGTCCAGGCAAAAAGGATAGGTAATAGCCTTTCCACATGGAGGCTGATTGAGGCTATTAAGTTGACACTTTCATTCTGATACCACTGGTTTCAGCTGGGGGCCAAACCAGGTGAGTGAACCCTGGCAAGTATGCCTGTAGCTGTAGGGAGAGTTGGTCCTTCTCCAGCATCCTGAGCCCAACATAAGGACCTGCTAGCAAGAGTGGAATGGCCAACAGAAAACTGCCTCTTTCCCTTACAATTGCCCCAACCAGGGCCTCCCTGACTGCATCCAGTAACAATACCCAAAGGTACGGAAGGGAGCGGTAAGTAACATGCCCACTGTCATGGAGAAGGGGGTCAGTAGTATGCCTGCTGTACCCAGCAGCTCTAAGAAAGGATATCCATGAATGCGCCATAACATGTGGCAAGAAATTACACCAGTGGTAACAAAATGCTGCCTAATTGGCTCTTTTTTTCCCGTTCATTTGTGGGATGTGAGGGTCGCTGGTTGTCCAGCATTTATTGCCCATCCCTAGTTGCCCTTGAGAAGGTGGTGGTGAGTTGCCTTCTTGAACCGCTGCAGTCCACCTGCTGTGGATTGACGCACAATGCTATCAGGGAGGGAATTCCAGGATTTTGACTGAGCAACAGTGAAGGCACGGTGATATATTTCCAAGTCAGGATGGTGAGTGGCTTGGAGGGGAACTTGGAGGTGCTGGTGTTCCCATATGTCCTTCTAGATAGAAGTGGTCATGGGTTTGGAAGGTGCTGTCTGAGATCTTTGAGTTTCTGCGGTACATATTGTTGCTAATGAGCACCCGTGGTGGAGGGAGTGGATGCTTGTGGATGTGGTGTCAATCAAGGGGGCAGCTTTGTCCTGGATAGTGTCAAGCTGCTTGAGTGTTATTGGGGCTGCGCTCATCCAGGCAAGTGAGGAGTATTCCATCACACTCCTGACTTGTGCCTTGTAGTTGGTGGACAGGCTTTGAGGAGTCAGGAGGTGAGTTATCCGCTGCAGTATTCCTAGCTCATGACCTGCTCTTGTAGCCACTGTTTATGTAGTGAGTCCAATTGAGTTTCTGGTCAGTGGTAACCCCCAGGATGTTGACAGTGAGGGATTCAGTGATGGTAACACCATTGAATGTCAAAGGATGGGGATTAGATTGTCTCTTATTGGTGATGGTCATGGCCTGGCATTTATGTGGCACGAATGTCACTTGTCAGCCTGAGCCTGGGCATTGTCCAGATCTTGTTGCATGTGAACATGGACTGCTTCAGTATCTGAGGAGTCATGAATGGTGCTGAACATTGTACAGTCATCGGCGAACATCCCCGCTTCTGACCTTATGATGGAGAGAAGGTCATTGATGAAGCAGCTGAAGATGGTTGGGCCAAGTACACTACCCTGAGGAACTCCTGCAGAGATGTCCTGGAGCTGAGATGATTGACGTCCAACAACCACAATCATCTTCCTATGTGCCAGGTACGACTCCAGCCACAGGAGAGTTTCACCCCTGGTACCCATTGATTCCAGTTTTGCTGGGGCTCCTTGATGCCACACTCGGTCGAATGCAGCCTTAACATCAAGGGCTGTCACTCTCGCCTCACCTCTGGAATTCAGCTCTTTTGTCCATGTTTGAACCGAGGCTGTAATGAGGTCAGGAGCTGAGTGGCCCTGGCAGAACCCAAACTGGGCGTCACTGAGCAGGTGCTGCTTGATAGCACTGTTGGTGACACCTTCCATCACTTTACTGATGATCGAGAGGGGACTGATGGGGTGGTAATTGGCCAGGTTGGATTTGTCCTGCATTTTTGTGTACAGGGCAATTTTCCTCATTGCCGGGTAGATACCAGTGTTGTAACTGTACTGGAACAGGGGAGTGGCAAGTTCTCGAGCACAAGTCTTCAGTACTATTGCTGGAATGTTGTCAGGGCCTGTAGCCATTGTAGTATCCAGTGTCTCCATCCGTTTGTTGATATCGCGTGGAGTGAATCGAATTGACTGAAGACTGGTATCTGTGATGCTGGAGACCACTGGAGGAGGCCGAGATGGATCATCCACTCGCCACTTCTGGCTGAAGATTGCTGCGAATGCTTCAGCCTTGTCTTTTAACTGATGTCTCCTTAAGGACTGTGTGATGATCACCCTTACCGATACTGTCATGGACAGATGCAATGCAGCTGGCAGATTGGTAAGGATGAAGCTAAGTCTGTTTTTCTCTCTTGTTGGTTCCCTCACCACCGGCCGCAGGCCAAGTCTAACAGCTACGTCCTTTAGGACCTGACCAGCTCAATCTGTAGTACTGCTGCTGAACCAGTCTTGGTGGTGGACATTGAAATCCCCCACCCAGAGCACATTTTGTGCCCTTGTCATCCGCAGTGCTTCCTGATCAGCTGAGGGAGGATGGTATATGGTAATCGGCAGGAGGTTTCCTGCCCAAGTTTAACCTGAAGCCGTGAGATTTCATGGGGTCCATGTTGAGGACTCCGAGAGCAACTCCCTCCTGACTGTATCCCAGTGTGCCACCACCGCTGATGGGTTTGTTCTGCCCGTGGCACCGGACATATCCAGGGATGGTGATGGTGGTGTCTGGGACATTGTCTGTAAGGTATGAATTTGTGAGTATGACAATATTGGGCTGTTGCTTAACTAGTCTGTGAGGATGATGGGAAGAGTTTACTACAGAGGACTACAGACCAATTAAGTGAGTGGGTAAAAACTTAGCAGATGGAATATAATGTGGGGAAATGTGAGGTTATGCACTTTAGCAGGAAGAATAGAAGAGCTAAATGTTATTTAAATTGGGAAAGACTGCAAAAAATTGCACCACAGCAGGATTTGGGTGTCCTTATTCATGAACCACAAAAAACAATGGTCAAATTCAACAGATAATTGGAAAAGCAAATGGAATATTTATCTTTTATCTTTAAGGGAATGGAGTATACAAGTAGGGAAGTCTTGCTAAAACAATACAAGTCACAAGCCAGACCAGACTCATAAGACTGTGAACGGTTTTGATCCCCCTTATCTGTGGAAAGATATAATGGTATCGGAGGTAAACCGGAGGAAGTTCACTAGTTTGATTCTGGATGTGGAGGAATTTTCTTTTGCAGAGAAGTTGAATATTTTGGGCTTCTACTCAAAGTTTAGGAAAATGAGAGGAAACCTGATTGAAACATATGCAAATCTTTGGGATCTTGACAGGGTGAATGCTGAGAGGTTGATTCCCCAGGTGCAGAGAGTCTAGAATCAGAGGGATAATGTCAGAGTAAGGGGCCACCAATTTAAGACCCAGATGTATAATTTCTTCTCCAAGGCAACCAGTCTGGGGAGTTCTTTACTGCAGAAGACTATTTTGGCTGGGTTGTTAAGAATATTCAAGGCTGAGATTAACAGATTTTTGTAATCAGTAAGGGAATTCAAAGTTCTGGAGAAAAAGTGGAGCAAGTGGAATCGAGGATTATCAGATCAGCCATGATTTTATTGAATGGTGGAGCAGACTTTGTGGGCTAAATGGCCTACTTCTGCTTTTACATCTTTTGATGGTCTAATTCTACTAAATTAAGATTTTCCCAGGGGAAAACCATGATGACTTGTTCTTTAATACACTTTCTAAGTGCATTTTTAAGACTGATTTAATAATAGATTCCAGCATTTTCGCAATGACTGATCATCATAACTGGCATGTCATTGTTTACTTTCTCTCTTTCTTGAAATGCAGAGTAACTATTTCTGAATCTAAGGAATTTTGGAAAATCTTAGCCAGTGCATCAACCATCTCCACGGCTACCCGTTTTATAGAACTAGCGAGTAAGCAATCTAGTCACGGGGATTTGTCAAATTTTAGTTCACTTCCTTTTATCTGCTGATATTAATTAACAAATTCTGTGGAATTACTGTGGAGTTCTGAAGGCTGATGACCAGGTCATTGAAGAGATTATCTTTCTGTTCTGTTATAGTTTTGACTGTTACGTTGACATTCAGTGCCATCAATGTGTGTCAGACAGCAATGAGATGAGTGATAAATTGAGTGTTAATCTAGAGAAATAAATAAGGCAGTTGGGATAGAGTGGGTCTCTGAAATGATTGTCTTCAGTTTCTCCAACAAAAATGCAAATTCAGTGGGTCAAAAGACACCCTGATTCTAAATTTGAACAGTACTCAGAGGTGTTTTGCCTTCTGGGCACGTTCTCTCTCCATTCAGAAGCAAATACTTCTTTTTATTGTAAAGAGTAGCTACAGTTTGCAAATAAATAACTGTTTAGTGTTAAGATTTCCATGTCACTATTTTATATCAGAGGCCATGTTGTTTTTAGACAGTAGAGGAACAGCAAAAGGGAGGAAAGTATTTTCTGTAATGTTAATTTAGGATTCAAAAGAGGAAGTTAAGACTTTTTTGTGTAGAATTTCTGTCTGAGGCATGCTTTGCTCATTTAACCAATCTAACTTTTGATGGGCCGCATGAGAATTATTGCCATTTCTTATTTATAACAAGACTAATGTTTCATGTGAGGCATGTTCTATTCATATTAGTTGCTTAAAGTCAATATTGTGAATTTTACTACCTTTGAGAGTTTCTTTAAAACAGAAAAGAAACTTGTGTTTATCAATAATGTTTCAGATTCTTATCTCCAGCTGTTCACGTTGTCGAACTTGTGACTCACTAGTGTATGACGAGGAAATAATGGCTGGCTGGACAGCAGATGACTCCAACCTCAACACGACATGCCCTTTCTGCGGCAACTTGTTCCTTCCTTTCCTTGGCATTGAAATTCGAGATCTGCGAGGTCCTGGCAGGTAATAGGTTGCTGCAGTATAATATGAATATGTATGTATGCATGAAGTGTGAATGAAAAGAGTATATTTCATTATTTCATTTTAATGAACATATTTTTGGGAACTTGACTATTTTCTGTACTTTCTTGTCGCAAGAATCATCTACCTATTCGTATGAATAGAATGTAGGACAGATCAAATGAGCAAATTCTTCATGAGTTCTTTGGAATGTCAGTAAGCTGATCAAAACAGTGTGAAAGAAGAGCCTTAGTCCCAGGGTTTCCTAGATGGGCATCTTGTAATGTTCTGTGAAAAAGTTTGGTTTACAACATATACTCTGTAAAAGATAGCGTATGGAAATGTAGGGCATGAATGCTAAATATGCTTCAGATAGTGTGATAAAAATTTCTAATTAGATTACCCAATTTATGAAAGAAAAGCACAATACTGTGAAAGCTGTAAATACGAAATAAAAACAGAAAATACCGAGAAACCAGGCAGATTTAGCAGCGTCTGTCGAGAGAGTAATAGTTTACATTTGAAGTCCAATCCAATTCGTGAGCCATATTTGTGACTGAGCTGTTCAGTTAGAATGACTGATTAGAAACTTCCCCTGTTAACACAGTGAAGCCCAACATATTTGAGCAAAGTTAACTTCAGTATGAGTTTGGAGCTCCTTTACTTTCATGGAGAGAATCTATACATGTCCCTCAAGGAAGGAAAGAACCAGTCTGGTCCGTGATATCCCTTAAGTAGGTATATCCTCTGAAGTGGTTTGGTGCAGGCAAGTGCTTGAAGGGCCTGTGCTGTATTGTTCTTTGTCCCAGTTTACCAAGCAATTCTAATGTGCAAATCAGCCATAGAACAACAGCCATGAGGGATGAGCGTAAAGTACAGAGTTGCCAACATTCATGTAACCCAAATATAAATATTTAAAACAATTGCTGTCATTGAAGTCTTTGTACATCAATGTTAATTTGATGGCACAAAATCATTTGGTCACCTGGGAAACCTGCTCTTAGCCTTTGACAGTTCCAGAAATGACACAAAAATTCAGTTATGATGTAATGCTGTATGATTTTTGGGGGAGATTATCATGTGGTAACATTGTGACTGTTCCAGGAGTAAATGACTCTGAGCCTGACGAAGGGTTTCCGCCCAAAATGTTGACTTTCCTCCTCCTTGGATACTGTCTGACTGGCTGTGCTTTCCCAGCTCCACATTTATTGACTCTAGCTTCCAGCATCTGCAGTCCTTGACTCTGAGCCTGGTGATTGATTGAGTTGATTTATTGTCATGTGTACCTAAGTACAATGAAAAGCTTTGTTTGTGAGCAGTACAGGCAGATAATAGTGAACAAGGGCATACAGATCATAAGATGGAAGGAAACTTTGACAGAGTGAGACATACAGGTTACACCGCACAGGACGTGCGCAAGGCAAGAACAACATTGACAAGATCGACATTATTTGAAGTTAGACAGTCCATTCATCAGCCTAATAATAGCAGGGAAGAAGCTGTTCTTGAATCTGCTGGTGCATGTGTTCAAGCTTCTGTATCTTCTCTATCAGTGTTGTTGTGCTATAAGCTTATAGGTTTCAAGGACTCAGTCCAACCAAACTGTTCAGTTATCAGCATTTTAAAACCAGGTCCTCACTCCAAGTATAATTTAGTTGGTTTGTTAATACAGTATTTGTAGGTATTTTTCTTAAAATATTAAAACCAATGAAGGAAATACTTACTGCTGTGAATTTATTTAGGTATTTTCTGAAATCGAGTCCGTCTACAGAAAGTATGCAGAGTTTGCAATCTGGACCATCCTATCCGGGAACAAAGGACCTGATGGTCTCCCCGCCTGGTCTGGGTATGATCGATGTCAACAAGCCTCACTCACCAAGAATTACAGTGCAAGGAGTTTCAGTCACACAAGGGTAAATGTAATAAGCATGTGCTAAATCAAAGCTCTGGGCAGAGGATGCCCACTTGTCCTCTTAGTTTTGGAATTCCGTGCAGTAGGAATGAAACTTGATTTAGCTGATTGATTTTGTTAAAGCTAGAGAACTGTTTTCATACCTCTGCATGTCAAAAAACAGCCTTCAGTTGCGCCAGAACAGATTACTTCAGATGAACAAGAAAGCCAAAAGTCAGCAAGGCAATAAGGAATTGTTATCTCCCACTTCTGAGATTGCTATAGCAATGGCTTAGTGATGGTGAAGCTCGAAAACTGGTTGCCTCTGGTTTTTACTGATCACAATTGCAATTTTGTATAATCAGTAGTAACTCAGTTGGTAGCACACTTGCCTAAATCAGAGATTTGTAGATTCCAGTTCCACGCCAGGATTTGAGCACAGAAATCAAGCACAGAATCATTTTGGTACAGTACTGAGCAAGTCCAGCAATGTCACAGGTGTCACCTCTCAAATCAGATTTTTAAACTGAGGTCCTATCTATCCCCTCAGGTGGACATAAAATCACCCACAAAATTATTTTGAATAGAGGACTTTTCTCCTATAATCTGACAAATACATATCCCTCAATCACAAAAGCAGGTTATGAGGCCATTTCTAGATTGTTGTATGTAAGAGCTTGCTGTGTACCAATAGGCTGTTAAGTATTTACATTCCACTGTGACTGTGCTTCAGAAGATGTTTTATTTAAAATACTTCCGGTTGTCTGTTAGGTACACAAAGCATCATATATATATAAGTTTTATATTGTTTATTACGAAGTTGTACAATACTAAGCACAGTGACCAATAAGTGTGATACCTACAAATTATAGAATTTGTGTAAGACGAAAGCCAAATTAGTTCTCTTTCTCTTTTTTTATGAATACCTCTGTGCCAGTATTTTCTAATTGGTTGCTGAGGGGCTGGAGAAGCTGGCAATTTGTTTCCAGATTGTCACCCTTGATTATACTGAATTATGTCCCACTCAATATTGAAAAATCTTTCTACTGGAAGCTCTTGCACCCGTTGCCCTGTTAGAGCCAGTTGAAGTTTTGTATCTTAGGTGAGATCCAGTGATGGTTTCCCTTTTTTTTGTTAAAATTTCACATTCATCTCTACTGTTATGGCCATTCACTTTATTGAAAGCTACCTAATTTTACACCATTGTTCTGGATTGTCATTTTTAAATATTGTAGCCATGATTAGTAGTGACTTTTAAAAAAAAAAAAAAAAAAAATTCTTTTGTGATCAAAGCATGCACAAGTCTCTGTGTTGTATGTTTTGCTTAGCTATGGTTTAGTAGTTCAAAACTGGGGGATATTTAGTGGATTGGAGCCTAATTATACTTGCTTAATTTACTGACAAGTTCCCACCAAAATTATGTGTGTGGAGACCTTGCCCAATTCACCACATTGCCTAATAAAAACCGAAAGAACTGCGGATGCTGTAAATCAGGAACAAAAATAGAAGTTTCTGGAAAAGCTCAGCAGGTCTGGCAGCATCTGTGAAGAAAAAATCAGAGTTAACGTTTTGGGTCCGGTGACCCTTCCTCAGGATTCTCTGCTCAGTAGTTAGTCCACTCAGATTAAAATACAGTCAGTCTGTCCAAGTGTTAGCTTGGAATAGCAGAAGATTTTAAAGCCTAAGTGCTTAAGTAAAATAAATACTTTGTTGTGACTTTCTTTGACTGTTTAGATTGAATTGCCAGATAAAACATTTAAACTGTATGTGGAATGAAGATTTGTAGAGAAATAATTGCATGTCCATCAGGATTCAGTTATAGTAGTTTTTAATGTAGGTTTTGTGCCAATTTATCCTTTTTCTGAAATTTATTTCTTATTGCCAGAAATGATCAGCCTGTGCCAGCAAGATGTATTCAGATCCCTTCAGGTAGAAGGCATGCATTCAACGAGTCCCTATTGTTGGGGCAGACGGTTGCGAGAAGCATTAGTGGATGCAGTTCTATAGCTGAGGAGCCTAATACTCGGCACCACATACACACTGTTCCAACAGGCAGCCTACCAACAAATCTCAGTGAATCAATGGTATGTGACTTAAAGTATGGGTGAGAAAAAGATGGAAATCCAATTGATTTGAGTTTATTCAGTGAAAGAATATCTACAGAATGTATGTTTTGTTCAAAACACTCCCGTGTGTTTGTGACTAACTCAAGAAGCTCCATGCTGTTGAGAAAATTTAATGTATCAATTAATATTCCCCTAATATGTTGGTATAAAATACTTAGTACTCCCAAAGGACTTTCCTTCCCCTTTCTTAGGTTTTTAAGAAGCTTTAAAAGTATTAGGATTAAATCAGGTTTTGTTTTGTGTTCCAAGTTTGGCACCTGTAGAGGGGTAGTTAGCTGAAATTGTAATAAGGGCACAGGATGTTCTACTGCTGGCTACATTTGATTCTGCCTAGTAATAAGCACCAGATGCTCTCAGAATGTTTCAGTAGAACTCTCAAAACAATCCAATAGTTACGGAAAATGAGTTCAAAAGTCAATTTTCAATCTTTTTGTTCTTAGATTTTTTTTTAGTCAGAAAGAGAGGGCAGAGATAAAGAAGAAAGTCACTCCATAGGTGTCAAGTGCTGCTGAAGTTTGGAACAGATGAGGACTAAATAAAATCATTGGATCACTGGGCCTCCGGAGCAGTCCTGAGAACTGTTTGATGCAGCTGAAAGTTGATTCCCACGGAAGCCCACAAGCAGTATTTGCAGCTTTGGAGACTGGACTTCAGAGAAACTCGGGAGCAGTGCCAGTTTAATGAAGCTAGTTGGCTGTCAAATTGTGAATTGTCAAACAGAATTGTGCCAGTAATTAGAGATGGGTACAACTTTGAGAATCCAATCAAATGCAATTTCAGAGGAAAAGATTGGACCAGTGAAAGATGACCTGTCAATGAGGCAGACCAAGTTGGAGCAGCATTTTAGGAAATTTGGAGGCTGGATCTTTTAATGTGAATACTTGTAATCTAATGTGAAGGAAACAGCTTTAATGTTTATTCGTGACTACTAATGTCAGTTACTATCAATGGAATCTGTCTTGGTTGCATCTGCTGTTTAATATGTAGTGTCATGAGTTTTATTGCTTGTCTGTTAATTTATTTGTGCCTCATGTTAATTCTTAGAATAAGCACAAATATACAGCGCTTTGTTTTACTTTCCTGACCTTGTAGGGTAAAGTTTCTTTGTTTGTTCAAAACTGTTGAATTTTGCACATACAAACATATGAATTGGGAGCTGTAGACTATTTGACCCATTAAAGCCTGCTCAGCTATTTGATATGATCATGGCTGATTTGATTGTGGTTTCAACTCCACACTCCTGACTTACCCCAGTAATCCTCAACTTCTTGTCAGTCAAGGATCTATCTAAGTCTACCTTGAAAATATTCAATGACTCTGCTTGCACTTCTCTCTCTGGAGAGAGAGAGAGAGGACACTGAAACGCCCAGAGAGGAAGAAAATTACTTTTCATCCTTAACTTTATTCCCTTAGTAAATATCTGGGATTTCAAACTTAGTGACTAGTAACATTATTGTTTAAATTAGACTAAGCAAATAATAACCAACGATGAGGATTTAGTCCAGGATTATCGTAGCCTGTATTTGAGTAAATATGGATACGTGCTTCATAATAGCATTATTAATAAATCCAACCACATCAATCCAGAATGGCAGATTGAAATGGCAGGTGAAGATCACGTGCACTCACTACTTCATTCATGTATCTGCAGATTGAAGGACATGTAGAAATCCAGTTGTCAATTGTTCTACTGAAAGTACTCATTGTATTTGGTTTTAGTTTAATACTTAAATGATTTATTTTTGGAATATATTCCTTGTTTTGTTTTAGAACCAAGTCTCAGCCTTGATCTCATTATGGAACTGATTGGTGCTTAATCTTTTTTGTAGGATCGATTGGGCTTTGAATGGCAATTACCAAATCCTGACCCTATAACTGTTCCTTACTTGAGCCCCTTGGTGTTGTGGAAAGAGTTAGAAAGTTTACTTGAGAATGAAGGTGATCAAGTAATATCTATGGCAACATTTGTGGATCACCATCCAATTGTATTCTGGAATTTGGTGTGGTATTTTCGGCGTATCGATCTACCCACCAACCTGCCAGGACTTGTACTAACTTCAGAGCACTGTAACAAAGGCATGACGGTAAGCCAGTGATGAGGAACGCTTAATTGCTCAAGGAAACATTGTGTGCCAATTTGTTTTAATACAGCACAGTACTCAATTCAAATTGTTCGCTTAGCTACTACCAACAGCAGACCCATAACATAGTTCTTCATCCTGCTGCTACACAGCTTAAAATCGGTTTCATCAGATGGAATTCAATTATGGAAGAACAAAGCCTGCAATTGGACAAATTATTTATTGGTCCATAATAGAAACAGAAACCTGTCACCAGTAGAGGTTTATTAAACCATAAGACTTTGTCAAGTCATGGCTGAGCCAGCTGCCGTTACCTAAAGGTGACATCTGTATCAGCTGAAAAATGTAAACATTTGATTTCTAATTTGTTACATTTGAGTCCAGAAGGCTGTGGCTCTAGAATGGCTCCACAACACAGTTTTCTTGGTCCCTTTATTTAGTCATGCCTCCCCTCTCAATTTCTGTTGATTACTGTTTTATGTAATGTAACTGATTTTCATTGTTTCAATGTACGTTTTCCTTCAGCTGAAAATTATTCTTAAGACCGCTGTTGAATTTCTTGCTCACTGTAAGAGGATTTTATTTCACAGGTTCCTCGTAGTTGGATGTCAGAGGACAGTAAACATGTTTTAATTCAGGTGCTGTGGGACAATCTAAAATTACATCAAGATCCCAGTCAGCCTTTCTACATTCTCTGGAATGCTAAGAGTGAGTGCAAGTTCATGTTTACAAGACAATTAGGACCTTGAGACTGTATCCAGCAAAAGGAATTGTTACAGTTAATGTTCACTGTTACATTTAATTACATCACTGAACTGTTATTGAAGTTGCAAGGTTGCTGAAGCATTTTAAGTTAGTATGCACTGAAATGAATTCACTTGTTCGCACTTCTGGGTGTGCTCACCCCTTCAACTATTTTAAGCTTTTTTTTAAAAGAAAAAGCTGGATGCTGATGAGATTTTTTAAAAACTATCAATGTACAGCTGCAATTACTTGTATACTTTTTTTTGGTATTGTCACCTCTGGTCTAACGTTTTCCTACCATCTCCTGACCAAGCCCTCAGTCTTCACCCTCCAGAAAGGTCAAATCTTCCAAAACTCTGCTGTCTGTACCTGAACCTGAATCAAATCCCATCACTTAAAGAACATAGAACATTACGGCGCAGTACAGGCCCTTCGGCACTCGATGTTGCGCCGACCTATGAAACCAATCTGAAGCCCATCTAACCTAAACTATTCCATTATCATCCATATGTTTATCCAATGACCATTTAAATGCCCTTAAAGTTGGCGAGTCTACTACTTTTGCAGGCAGGGCATTCCACGCCCTTACTACTCTCCGAGTAAAGAACCTACCTCTGACATCTGTCCTATATCTATCACCCCTCAATTTAAAGCTATGTCCCCTCATGCTAGCCACCACCATCCGAGGAAAAAGGCTCCCACTGTCCACCCTATTTAATCCTCTGATCATCTTGTATGTCTCTATTAAGTCACCTCTTAACCTTCTTCTCTCTAACGACAGTCCTTTATGCCTCTAGGTTGGTGACATCCAAAATTTTAAAGTCCTGTCCTCTCAGCTCAAATTCCTTCATGACACAATTCCAGCTTGTCTCTATGACCTCCAGTCCTACCACTGTTTAAGATCTCTGCATGGTGAGAGCTTTGACCTCTTGTTCCTTCGCTCCTCTATCGGCAGTTGTGACTATAGCCGTCTGGGTCTGTAGTTGTAGAATTCCTTTCTCAACCTTTACCCACATCTTTCATCTCATCCTGTAAAACTCCCCTCTGATGAAGCTTTGAATCGCCACTTCTTATCTCTCCCTCTTTGTTTTGGTGTTTAATGACTATTTTGTAAAATGCCTTGAAATATTAACATACATTAAAGATATTATACAAATGTAAGTTATTGCTAGTAATTTTGTAATGTACACAGCATTTGTTAATTTGCTTGCCATGACAATTTTATTCCCAATGTTTTATAGTTTTTCAATATGTTTCTGTTTAGTGTGATTTTAGCAAGTATTGTGTAAATTAAGTTCTAGTTGAATCTTTGCATTAGTTGCAGCTATCAACCAGCATTAGATCACACGCTAAATAATAAATCAACACTCATCTCAAACTCTTGAGTTCCCAAGCTCTCAAGATCTTTAGAAGGTCGGCCCTTTGACATCTAGTATCTCTAATATAGCCGCTTCCTGTCTGCTTCCGTGCATAATGACAAACTGAGGGGTTCAGGCATGAGAGGGCACTTTTTTACATTTGGCTGTTGGGGAACTTGAGTCACCAATCCAGCAGCAGGCTCTGAATTTCTGACAATATTATTCAGCTAAACTGGGAAAATAATTTAGTTTTCCTCCTCAGCTAAAAATCTGCTCGACATTCATAAACATCACAAGTGCTTTATCGGAGCCATGCTTTTGACAGTGGGATGGGCGATATTGTAGTGGCTCACCTTCACAATCTATCAGTTAATAACTCTAGAGATAGTAAGAACTGCCGATGCTGGAGTCGGAGATAATACAGTTTGGAGTTGGAGGAGCACAGCAGGCCAAGCAGCGTCAGAGGGACAGGAAAGTTCATGTTTCGGTCGGGACTCTTCTTCAGAAATGGGGGAGGGGGAAGGGAGCTCTGAAGTAAATAGAGAGAGGAGGGTTGGGGCCAGGGAAGGTAGGTGGGATGGTGAAAGGTGAGTGCAAGTAGGCAGTGGAGGGGATTGGTCAGTGAGGTGGGAGGAGTGGATAGGTGGGAGAGAAGATGGACAGGTTGTGTCAGCTCATGGAAGTGGGGATGAGAGGGAGGGTTGGTCATGGGATGAAGCCAGGAGTGGGGAGCTTTTGAAACTGGTAAAGTCCACATAGAGACCATTGGGTTGTAGGCTCCTAAGGTGGAATATGAGATACTGTTCCTCCAGTTTCCGGGTGGCATCATTGTGACACTGGAGGAGGCTCAAGATGGACATGTTGCCCAGGGAGTGGGAGGGGGAGTTGAAATGGTTCACGACTGGGAGGTATTGTCGTTTGTCGTGAACAGAGCACAGGTGCTGTACAAAGGGGTCTCCGAGCCCCAACTTGGTCTCACCGATATAGAGGAGGCCACATCGGGAGCAGCGGGTGCAATAGACCACGTTAGCGGATGGCAGGTGAACCTGGGCAGAGGTGCAGGAAACGCAAGAGATGCAGTCGAGAGCATTTTTGACCACCGAAGGGGGAAAGTTGTGGCCCTTGAAATAAGAGGACATCTGGGAATTTTCGGGAGTGGAACGCCCCATCTTTGGAGCAGATGCGGTGGAGGCGGAAGAATTGGGAGTGGGGGATCGCATTCTGGCAGGAAGGTGGATGAAAGGAGGTGTAGTCTAGGTAGCAGTGGGAGTCGATGGGCTTGAAATAGATGTTGGTTTCGAGGCAGTCACCACAGATGGAGACACAGAGGTCCAGGAAGGAGAGAGAGGTATCAGAGATGGTCCAGGTGAACTTGAGGTTGCGGTGAAAGGTGTTAGTAAAGTTGATGAACTATTCAAGCTCCTCATGAGAGCACGAGGCGGCGCCGATACAGTCATCGATGTAACGGAGGAAGAGGTGGGGGATAGGGCCAGTGTAGCTTTGGAAGAGGGACTGTTCCACGTATCCTACAAAGAGGCAGGCATAGCTTGGGCCCATGCGGGTACCCATGGCCACCCCCTATCGTCTGTAGGCAGTGGGAGGAGTTGAAGGAGAAGTTGTCAAGGGTAAGGACAAGTTTGGTTAAGCGGACGAGGGTGTCAATGGAGAGGGCTGGTTGGGCCTGCAGGAGAGGAAGAAGCGGAGGGCTTTTAGGCCATCCGCGTGGGGAATGCAAGTGTACAGGGACTGGACGTCCATAGTGAAGATGAGGTGTTGGGGTCCGGGGAATCGGAAGTTTTGGAGGAGGTGGAGGGCATGGGTGGTGTCCTGATCGTAGGTGGGGAGTTCCTGGGCCAGGGGGAGAAAATAGAGTCGAGATAAGTTTGGTGGGGCAGGAGCAGGCAGAGACAATAAGTCGGCCAGGGCAGTCTGATTTATGGATTTTGGGAAAGAGATAGAAACAGGTGGTGCAGGGTTGGGGAATCGATGAGATTGGAGGCTGAGCGGGAGGTCACCTGAGGTGATAAGGTTATGGATGGCCTGGGGGATGATGTTTTGGTGGTCAGGAGTGGGGTCATGATCAAGGGGGTGGTAGAAGGAGGTGTCAGACAGTTCATGCACTGACCTTAACATTGATGAGGCCAGGCTTTATGTAGGTTAGGGTTGGAGTAGAGGGCGTCACGAACCATTTCAACTCCCCCTCCCAGTCCCTGGGCGACATGTCCATCCTGGGCCTCCTCCAGTGTCACAATGACGCCACCCGGAAACTGGAGGAGCAGCACCTCATATTCCATCTCGGGATCCTACAGCCCAATGGTCTAAACGTGGATTTCACCAGTTCCAAAATCTCCCCACCCCCAGCCTCATCCCGTGACCAACCCTCCCTCTCATCCCCGCCTCCTTGACCTGTCCATCTTCTCTCCCACCTATCCGCTCCTCCCACCTCACTGATCAATCCCCACCACCGCCTACCTGCACACTCCTATCCCCATCCCACCCTTCCTCTCTCTTTATTTTGGAGCTCCCTTTCCCCCTCCCCCATTTCTGAAGAAGGGTCCCAACCCGAAACGTCAACTTTCCTGCTCCTCTGATGCTGCCTGGCCTGCTGTGTTCCTCCAGCTGAGTTAATAACTCTAGTTTATTCAAGTTATAGATTTCCTCTTTAACCACAGTTGTTCATTGAAACCTGTGTTCTTAATGCAACTAACTAAACTTTCTCTGTCTTCACAGGTCTAAATTACACTCTTTTATTTGAGAGTGAGTGTCAAATTTGTTATTCATTATCAGCAGTCGTTAGTTATTGGTTGTCTTTAAAATCATGTTTCATCATTTTGAGAAAATGTCTGCTACCAGTTATTTGATTTTATTGTTTAATTGCAGTGCATTTGCTTATTTAACAATTAAATCAATGCCACCTTGTGAATTTCTTTGCTTTTTTTTTGCCACCCACATCTTTTAAACTGTATATTTAAAAATTTATGCTGTAAATTTTCCAGAATACATCTAAATCAATATTCTGGGCGTGAAATTTTGTGTGAAATAATATGAAGATATCCAGACTGCTCTGCCAGAGATTGTTAAAAGCTCCCTTTCAGCCAGTGACTGTAATAGATTATGTACTGTCTGAAATTGCCACATAGTTTGTGTGTTAGGACTGCACAACTGAACTTTAATGGTTCGTAACCACTTCGAAAGAGTAAAGTTTAAAATTCGTGTAAATACTGCACAGGTTGCTGTGACTGCCTTTGCCTCAAGTGTCACACTCAAGCACCTGTTCTTTTCCTGCTTTTAAATTATGCCGTGTTTCTCTGCCTCATCTTCTTCTGCAAATATTAATGTCCTTTTTAGGTTATAACTCCACGAGCAAACACAAGTTACTGTTTTTGATGTATAAGAGTTGGCAGACTAATTAAGTCTCTGATTCTTTTGCTTTTGAGCCTGATTCTTTTGCTGTCAGGGATACATGGATTGCAATGTAGTGGAAATCCCACCTTTTATTTTGAAACTCTTTTTTTATTTTCTAACAAAGGCCAGCTGCCCCTTTTGTTACTGGCCTGATAGACATCAACTTATTCAACGCATCAGGATATTAAGTTGATCGATTACAATCAGACCAAGGCTCAGGTTAACCAGCACTAGACTACCTTATTGTGCACAATACTATATAAGTGAGGAAAGAGAAAGAATGCATACTAAATCATGCATATGGAACTTTTTAAATGCATTCCTTGAAAACCTCTTTGATCCCCTGTGTACTGCCATCTTGAAAGGAAACCTAACTTGTACAAAATGATTCTTGTTGTTTTGATGGGCTGACATGTCTGTCTGGTAGAATTCCCTCCCTAATGGCATTGTGGGTCAACTCATAGAAGGTGGACTGCAGCAGTTCATGAATGCAGCTCACCACCACCACCACCTCAAGGGCAACTAGGGAGGGGCAATAAATGATGTTTCAGCCAGCAATGCCCACATTCCACAAATGAATTAAAAAAAGTGGGTTCTATTGTAGCTGAAATTCCAAATAAAAATTCCAGAAAAATGTTAACTAGTAATACAGCACAATTGACTGCAGTTGTTTTAGAATTGGAAACAACTGTAAGAATATTAATGGGGCCAAATACAAGAGTTCATAGCCCTTCCCACTCTGGAGGTAACAGTTTCTAACACAGTTGAAGAAAATCTCCTATCTCCAATTGTTACCAAAAGAAAATAAAATTCAGTGAAATTATATCACTTCAAATGAGGTGCAGTATAAAACTTGCAGTCAGAATTCCTGACGTCAATTTTTAAAGATAGTTAAAATCTTTGGGAAGAATTATTCAGTGTTATTTCCTATTGCAAAATCATTAGAGCTTAGTTCTAGAATTAATACAAAGTAAATTTTTCTAATTGCAGCTAAAAAGCATCCCCTTGTTCAAACACTGCGAGATGGAGGCTGTTTATTTAACAAGGACTTTCTAGATAGCATTGTGAAGAGTATTCAGATGAATAATATCTATAAGCCAATAAGCAAGATTCTTGAGGTGCTGAGCATGCAACCATACTTTAGACGGCAAAGGTAAGCAAGTTGATAATCAGTCACCTCTTAAGTTTGCACATTTCTCATTTTGTGTATTCATCACAGTTTAACTTTTTCAAGCATCCCCAATCAATCAATTCTATTTCAAACATTAATCCTCATAAGCAATGAAAGAATATATGGGAAATTTGCTTTAATCTCTTTGCCAATGGCTTTCTGTCAAGTATTGGATGTTTTATGATCTATTCTCAGGATGAAAATGAGCTAAACAGAGCCAACAAATGAGAAAATTTGAGATAATCATTCGGTTGGCTTAAAAGAGAAATGTTATACACTAAAAGCTTAGCTTTGAAAAACTTCAGGTTAATTTCTAATTTAAGCTTTTTAAAATTGTATTTTATTTTCTTTCTTCTCTTGAAGGAGTTTATACAGAGAGATTCTGTTCCTCTCACTTGTGGCACTTGGAAAAGACAACATTGACATAGGTAACATTTCACACAATATTTGTAACTTTGTTTTTCTCATTGATCATGTCAAACTCTGTACACTGTCACTGGTCTGTGTCCTGACTCTGTGAGGGGCATTTTGTCAGCTGGTGCAGCACCTTGCTGCTGCGTGCCAAAGACAAACACTTTCTTCAAAGATTTAACCTTGCATTCTAGTTATACAATGAACCTGCAACTGGCTCATTGTGTTCCTTAAACAAGTAAAACTACAGACAGTTGTAGGAGAATGTAATTTAAATGAATTAGCAGGACTGTAAAATATTCCTCAAACTGAAAAATAAGTTCGAAGAAAATGTAAATGTTAAACGTTTTTGCCTCATTTTCACGTGGACTTTATTAAGGGTCATGTTAATATCTTCTTTCTATTATCTATCTTCCATATCTCAAACAGATATATTTGACCGTGAATATAAGAAGGCATATGATCAGCTAACTCCCAGCCAAGTAAAGCTGACCCATAATTGTGACCGGCCTCCCAGCTCTGGGGTTATGGAATGTCGCAGAATCTTTGGTGAACCCTACCTCTAAGAATTCTGATTGACATTGCTGAAATTGTGGTCTGACATCAATGATGTGTAACTATCACGTTGTGCAATGGAAATTCAATACTTGGTCTTTCCAAATATACCATTGTTAAGTTATGATAACCTTTTGATGGGTTAAATGACAGAAGTGTACAGAAAATGAATTCACATGGAAAGCTATGTAAATATAATTTGATGGTATTTTAAATAGTTTTGTATTATAGTGCTATTGGATCAGGTCAACAAGAAGGAAGGCATAAACAAGAGGGCTCAACTGTTCAGAGTATGCTGCTAATATGTACATAATCGACCTGGCTACTGTTGCATCTCATCAAGTCTGTTACCTGTATGTTCTTTTTTAGAAGTACTTTCAGCCTAAGTTGTATAAATGTTCATAGAGGAGAAATGTGTAGCAGAGACACTTTATGTAAAAGTGACATGTTTTTCCACATAAGTTGTAAGTTCACTATTTGTATATTTAAATAAGGAAATCTTTTGATGCTATCTACTTTATAATTATGTATACTTATATAATGCAGCTTCAAAATACGCTTGATACATATATAATGTGGTCTAACATGTTCCTTTTAGAATTTGCTTTGCAGTTTTTGTGGTACTTTACTTTCTGAGAGAAATGATGCATCACGTTCCGCCTCCTGAATCCCTGTCCTGAAAGGATGAGACAATCCAGTGATTGGGGCTGTAATGCTTGAGGGCCAGAGAGACGGGCTGTCTATTTAAAATATATTTGAGTACTAATTGAAAAGAAGTTGAGGTCAAAGATAATGTGTGTGTGTGTAAACTCTTTTTTTAATGTTTGAAGATGAGTTTCCTATGGGAAAGTAAAATTGTATTTATTAGCTTATTAAATAACACTTTTTGAATAATCAGTTCCTGTTGGTTTTGAGTGTCTGGAATTCAAACAAATAGTAATGTCTTACACAACCTTTTATGCTTTTTTAGTTTTATTTAACACACTTGCAATAGCTTGCAATATGAGCAATTATATTTTTTCAGTTAAATCTTCATAGACAATTGAATTTAGGATAGTTTTCAAACAAAAAAGATCTGGAGGAACACAGCCAAAATGCAGTAGCAGAGCCTTACTATTCATACATAAAATGTGTGTCCCACCAACCACCTCTTGTTGTTCATATCAAAAGGTTTTTTACCTTTAGTTATAAATTGGCACTGTGTCCAAATGCATTGCTCGTTATTCCTACAGTTTATTAAAAATACAGAAGTTCTTTGCTCCTCCTTTTTTGCTGTTCCTCCTGTATTTGTTATTAGCTTTAGCTAGGGGTAGGCACTGGCCTAGTGGTATTATCGCTGGACTATTAATCCAGAGACCCAGATAATGTTCTGGGAATCTGGGTTCAAATCCTGTGGCTGATGGTGGAATTTGAATTCAATTAAAAAAACAAATCTGGAATTGAGAGTCTAATGATGACAACGAATCCATTGTCGATTGTTGGAAAAACCCATCTGGTTCACTAATGTCCTTTAGGGAAGGAAACTGCCATCCTGTTTGGTTGACTCTTAACTGCCCTCTGGGCAATTAGGGATGGACAATAAATGCTGCCCTAACCAGCGACATCCTCATCCTGTGAACGAATAATAACAAATTCTCAGATATGACCGAGAGGACTGTGGGTTCAAATCCCATTCCAAAGACCTGAACATATAATTCAGACTCTGACTGGAGCGTTAAGCTAGTGCATGCATCATTTTAGTACTTAATGTTTAGACTATTTAGGAGAGAGTAAATTAAATTTATTGTTCATTAATTCACTCATGTTTAACTTCTATTCCTATACAAAGTTGCCTGATGAAATAGACAAGGTCCAGCTCATTCACGTACACCTATCCTGGTAGTCACCGCCTGAATAATAATGGAGTTGTTCGTTAATTGCAACTATCAGTCTCTGTCAGTTAATCTCTACCCAACCCCCAGGATGAGCTCTAGGAGCCCCAAGTCCAAAGTCACCTGTTCTAGGCAGAGAGTGCAGCAGTCAGCATCGCTAGGAAGCAGTCTGTGAGCAGTGCAATGAACTCAGTAGAAAACAGTGAATGTTTTTTTGCTGTGGGTGAAGGGATCTCACTGCAGTACAGGGTAAGTGAGCCTCTGCCTTTCTGAAGGGCTAGTACAGTTAGTGCTGAGGATCTCTGATGAATATTTGGTGACTATTGCTCTACTACACTATCTCCCTCACCTTTGTACAGAAGGGCCAGCCATGGTTGTAATGGCTGCTGCTGATTTCACCAGACGGGCCATCCCCCCCCTCATCAGTATCCAAAACAGAATACTATTTTTGACAGGGGACAGCTACATGGGACTCTTGCACTGACTGCCTGCTCTATCTAGCGATCACCCATCTATCTTCTGTACCTTGGGCATGACCATGTTTCTATAAACTTCTATGTATGACGGTCTCCACTATTTGTACGCTCCTTAGTGTCTCCAACTGCCACTCAAATCGATCCATTGATTCAGTGAGCAGCTGAAGCTAGGTATGCTTCCTACAAATGTAATTATCAGTGATGCTCAGTGTCCATAACTGGCCAGGTCTCGCAGGTACAACTGAAAACTCCACCAACTGACATGACTAACCCTCTACTGAATAAACCTAGAGCCTAGATTAGGGCATGCAATTCTGATGTTGCTATCACAGAGGCATGGCTGAAAGAGGGACAGGATTGGCAGCTTAACATTCCAAGATATCAATGTTTTAGATGAGACAGAGGAGGAAGCAAAAGAGGTGAGGGAGTTGCAGGAGATAGTAGGAACTGCAGATGCTGGAGAATCTGAGATAACAAGGTGTAGAGCTGG